CCTGCTTCAAACAGCAGCAGTTTTAAACACACTGAACCTTGCCTATAATGAGAACTGAAAGTAGCATTCTAGTCTGTCTCTCTCCAGCAAACTGGAGTCAACAACAAACAGTTAATCATACATTACTTTTCCAGCTAATATAGGGAGAAAGAGAAACCAGAGTATTGGGTGTGATGTCATGATAAGCCAATCCCACCTCACCTATGTGCAGTGAGTGATTGGATGGTGTGTGTCAGCACACCACCTTTTTTCACAATGAGCTTGAATTCTTAAGAATAGTGATAAACATACAAATGTTTCTGGCTAGTGATGGTATTGTTCCAGTATAATGGATATACCACTATAGTAGTCAAGAATGATTAAAATGGTTGGTTTCTGGATCCTAATATTTATCATTTTGCTTTGAAGAAAATTGTAGAATTGGTAGAGTTTTGAAGATGACATTCGGGATGCGTTGAGAGTATTTCTTTAAAGATTTGAGTGAAGAATGCTTCATAAATTGTGGGTATATAATCAGCAGGTTCCTCCTGCAGTAAGCGTAGCGTGCCATAAGTAGGGTTGAACACTGCTCTGCCTTTCACACTTCAAATCTGTGTGCTGCATGCTTGTTAGCCATGGCTAAAAAGCATGAAATCATACAGTCAACTTTTAAATGTTTAGAATTCTAACTCACAAATATTTCCTCTCTCCCACGATCAGAATCAAATGCAGTCTTAATGTTTGTTATTCATTCTGCCTCCCATCCATGGGGATGCAGCATTTGTGAAAGAATCAATTATCCATTTGTTAGTCAGAGGAGCTTTACAAATTATACATTAGCAGATTGATTTCTCAGGTTCACCGTTGAGGGACTGACACTATAAGGTGGGATGATGATGAGCATCTGGGGAGAAGAAGTTGCCACACAGTTAAAATAGGCTCTTTGCCCATGAATTTATTCCTAATTGAAGAGCTGACATAATCCATACTAAGTGTATTTATTTAAGGCATTTTACATTAGGTAATTGATTATCACACAAGCTGTGTTTTGCAAGTGGCAGCTTTTCTTCAAATTTAGGGTTTTGCAGAAAGCTTTTCTTATAAGATACCAGTCTCCTCCCTGCCAAACATAGAAACCATTTCTCCTGAACTTTCCCCCACCTATTAAAGTTACATTTTGTTCTAATAGTGTCAGCTTGATGTTATTGATTTCTCTTGAACAGTCAAACTTACTTATAGTGTCCAGAATTCCAAACAGGTCTCTGTGAGAAATAAAACAGTAACTAATGGTAATTCAGTTGGGTCCATTTATTCCTCCCTGACACAGTGTCCTGGATTTCCTTCATGAAATCCTTGTTTTTGTCCTCCAGTCACTCATCTAAGCCCTGAAGTTCTTTCAAGCCAGATCCTTCTGTACTAATTTCCAGGCTTAATTTTAATTGCATTCATGTCATATACAGTATATTGTGCTGTATAGTCAGTTTGAAGTTGCTTTTGCTTATTAATGAGCTACTTCTTTTGATAGATTTGCTTTTGGGAGTGCTGATGGAGACCGTATTGGTTCTGCAAACTTGTTAGTTTCTCCCTTAAGTTCTCCCTTCTTCTAAGAATTGAAAATAACACCTGATTGACTGTTGGAACTGATTCACTATGTTGTTAAAGAATAGTTATATCACTTTTTGGTTGTCAGAAACTGGTGAAGATAACTGATTCCCCCAGGAGTCCTACAAATATTTATAGATCTATAAAGGTTATAAAGCAAAGAACAGATTCTATGATTTGTCATAGCTGACATCCCAGTAAAGGGTTAATCTCAAAATGAAACCAGTCAGTCAGTAACAAGCTTGTGCCAACTCATCTGAGTATCTCATTATAAGCATCTACATTGTTGCAATAATTATAGGCAACTTCAAAACTTGCTAGTTCTGTACAAGTTTTCTTTATTTACATCATTTCTAGGTTCCATACTAAAAATAGCATTTCCAAAAAATATCAAAAACAGTCTTACAGTTGTGAGGAAAAAACTGTAGGCACATTTGCTTAAAACCAAAAGTTATACAGTTAGGCAAAAATAGTAGGCTCAAATATTTAAAAATCTATAATAAATGAACATAAGCTTTGGACAATTACTTAAGTCAGAAAATACATCTCCATTGTAAGTTTCTAGCCATACAATGTCCAGACAAAAACTTTAGTCATATTTGAAGCAACAGAAGAAAACACATTAAAACACAGGAGCTCATAGACTACAAAGGCAGAGAATACATCTCAATAATTCATTTAAAAGTAAAAAGCCTTATAACTTTAAATGAAAAGCATGAAAAAGTATTTAAACTTTTGAAATAAAAATATACAATATAGAAAGCATTACTTAGCTCTAAGCATGTTATTAACTCAGAGAAAAATGTTTTCTCACCAAGCCTTAGCCAGTTAGAATATATGTTATGTCCATGAGCTGGCTGCTCTCAGACCTTCTGTGAGGCATATGCTCCATCTCCATTTCTCTCCATGAAGACAAAGCTTGTGTCCTTTCCATTTTCTTCGGATAAAATGTCTCTCCATCATATAGCAGTACGTGAGTGCTCTCTATTTATAGTATGGTTCTGCGATGTTAATCAAAATAAACAGCAGAATGTAAACTTTTCAATGAGAAGCTCAGATGCCAAAGGCCACAGGACTTGCCCATCTCAGACCCAGCAAAGTCCAACTTCTTGCATCTCCAAGGCCTGGCCTGCTCCTGGCTGTTTCAAGGTCGGAGTTAAATTCCCCCTCCCTTAAGCAATACTGGCTAGAATGATATAATTCACTGACAATACAATACATTGCATGTTACTTTCATTGATACTACAGAATATATACAATTTTATACTACTTTAAAACAAGAATTGTTAATTATTAGTCTAAAGCCTTATAAGTGACACCTTTCTTTTCTTTACTTGCTTATCATTAAATGAACAGCTTAATATATCTTTCATCATTTTCTCCTTTTACACTATTCTGTAAAAGCTTCTGCTGTTACAACATATTGTTATTCTCATTTGCTTAACACCAGTTTCCACATTTATTTGGTGATATCTCTTTGTCAATTAACATTAAAGGTAAAACAAAACACGGAAGTTTAAACATATTTCCATTTTTTCCTGTTGTCTCTGTTTCACATAATGTAAGTGATCAGTTGTTTACAAGCATCTATTGTTTACTTTTTTTCATCGCAAAAACTGTCATGAAACTGAATGAGCTGCTTCTGCCTTGTTATCTTAGTTCTGTGTTCCAAAAACAAGTGAGGATGTTTTGGTTTTGTAACATAAATGATCTTTAGAGAGCACTTTCCAATTGCACTTTTACCTTTAATGCACCTTTCTGAGGCACATTTTAAAATAACTTTTAATTTTTGGGGCAGTATTTCTGCACCGCATAAATCCAGTTTTTTGAACACTGACATGGCCATAGGAGCCCCCAAAGCAGCTTATAATATTAATGAAATACATTGTAAGTTAGAATCACAGTAATAAAATGGAATAGAAAATAATTGTTAATACAATAAGTAATAAGCCAATTGTAGCCACTGAGATCAGAGTCTTGCAAGATAACCACCTCTTGACAGAGTTTGGGAAAGTCTTTTCGGGGGTGGTGTAACTTGCCTAATCTTTATAGACTATAAATCTTTTGGTAAAAGTCATAGAGGTGGTAGGATTCTAGTAATTGTAATCTTTTAAAAGACTTTGGTTTTTTTTTAACCATTCACCTCCAAGTAAGCAAGCGAGAGAGCCAGCCAGTCAAGATCTGGAGGAGGAGTACTCCGTAGCCTTAGCACCAGTGCTGAGAAGATTTTGCCCAGGTTCTGGTGCACTGAAAGCAGATGGAGCAAGATTACTGTTACTGCTGATCCTAAAATACAAACAGACTTGAGAAACAAGATGATTCTTCAATCACTCATATCTGAAATTGCTATGTTCAATGGTGATAAGCACCTCTACAGAGCATCAAAGAATGATGGAAGAGACAACAACCCTCACAGCTTCTAAATGTAGTGTTATCTGCCACCAAGAGAATATATTCCACATTATCACACTTTTTAGAAAGGTGGCTTGTAGTCAGTGCCATCTTAATGCATAATATATTTTGGCATGCTTGTAACTACCAACTTTTTTCTCCACCTGCTTCTCAGTGACCAGGTGAGGTCTTCATAAAGTGCTGCTCTTCCCATCCCACCTTCCAGTTCAGGCCACAAATTAGTGATGAAGATTAATTTCATAGTTAGACTTATTTGTACAACTGATAGTTCTCTGCCATTGTGTTTCTAAATAGTGTTCCCAAAAATCCCAGAGTTTCTTGGAAACTTACCAGACATTCCTCAGTGAGATAGCTAGTCGTGGCTGGCAAGGTTGTTCACTGTTACCAGTCTTACACTATAATATGCGGCATCAGAAGCATGTTACGCTATAAAAGGTGTTCTAGAATCCTTTACAGTGGTGCCAAGCTAGACGATGATAATCCTTTCCACTGAAATCGCTGTTTAGCGAAATCATTGTCTAGCAAAAAGCAAATCGTCGTCTAGTGAAAATCGGTTTGCAAAGCAGGGACCAAACATTGTCCAGCAAAATTCCCCCATAGGAATTACTGTTTTACGAATCACTATAGCAATCACAAAAAGTCAATGTCTAGCGAAAAAAACTGTCATGCGGGGTAACTGCCTAGCGAGGCAGTTTTACGACATCTCTGTGGTAAAGTTAACATGGGAAGTGTTCTCTGAACATAAATGGTACAGTATCACTGTTAATAATCTATTATGGCTTGCTGAGATGCTTTTCATACATATAGCTTTAACTTTGCTGTCCAAGCAGACGGAAAAAACAGGTTAAATTGGTGATGGGTTGTTTCATATAACTAGTTGGCTCAGTTCAATTTGTCAGGTTAGAAATTCTGCAGGGCTGGTTTCTGTCCTGGAAGAAAGCAGAAGCAACTTGTACTTCACAACTGTGCTTTTTAAAACATTCTTTCCTCTCCCCAACTTTTAACAGAGTCCTGTTAAGATCAATCAGATTAGCCTGGATGAAAGTGGAGAGCACATGGGTGTATGTTCTGAAGATGGCAAGGTATGACAAAAGCATCTCTTTTCACCTTTTCTCTTTTGTAGTGAACCCTTAAGATAACAGCACCTTGGACCACCTGTTCTAGTATCAGAATTACTTGAAGAAAACTCATAATTAAAGTCAAATATATTTGGTCCAAATATGCCTTTAGAAAAGTAATTACAAGGAATGTCAATAATGTTACTGGTATTAAGCTGATTAACTGCTGTGGCAAGGGGACATGTCACTGTAATCATTACTCCTTTGGCAGTTATACTTCAGTGACTAGTCTGATGTTCCTGCAAGACAGTAGCCTAATGTGTCTCTGCTATAAATCCACAAAATTGGATTTTTGTGGGCAGGATTTCTGTGGGCTGGTGCTTTTTTGTGTCTGTATGTGTTTTTTTTCCCAGCCTTATGATTGTTTCCTCTGAAATCTTTTGATAAGCAGTCACAGTCTATCAGAAGAATATAGTGTCTTACAGTGACTGTGTTAAACAAATGTGAAATCAATACGTATAATATATGTACAGTTTCCTTAAAGATGTGGCACCTTCTTCCTCGACAGGAAACATACATCATTTTGTGTACCGCACAGCCAACAATTATCAGTGTTCCCCTAGAACATTGAGAGCTATGACATTTTAGTGATTTTGGTGATCGATTTCTCCACTTATTAGAATGTCTTTGTTTATTTGTTTGTTTTTAAGTCTGTGACAGTCTGTGCTAATATTGGTTGTGATGATGAAATTCCAACCGTAACCTATTCAGGATGCTTTTTGAGGGAATAATTCTACTAGAAGGCACATTGTATTAATGTCACTTCTCAAGATCTGTCACATTTAACAGGGTAGAAGTGGCTGTTCCTAATCACATTCTTAGACAGGATTTTTAGGACCATTCACTGAGCAATTTAAGCTCAGACAATTAAAATGAATAATTATGTATACATAATTTTTTGTTTGGGATCAAAAAAAGAAATACATCTGTTCCATTTGCTTACTTTTCAAGCTTTTAAGAGAATTAGATTATGTATCCAAGTGTGTTGTTCCCCAAAGATACTTTGATGGGACAATAATTAACACAGTTGAGATGCTGTTGCTGATCAAAGAAATCGTAGAATTTTACAGCCAGTAAGAGACACTCGTAGGAATAATAGGGTTGTCTAAACAAGAAGAGAATAAGCCAGTAACTCTGAAAGAATCAAAACTGTCCTACCATTGAATTTTTAAAATTTACTTCATTTCCCTCCTTTCTCCCAAAGAAAGGACTCGATGTGTTGTATAACATTTTTTTAAAAAAATACACATACGTTTAAAATCATAGTGAATTAGAATATGAGTATTAAAAATGATTAAACCTTTAATAATTTCAAAAATACCACTAGTTTAAAACAATATTGAATACATTTAAAACATGATAAAAATAGAATATGCTGCATCTTTCACTAAAAAGTCTGATTCTGCCAGGTCTTTCACAGATCAAAAACCTGTTTAAACAGAAAAGACTTCCACTTGCCAGCCAAAGGACAGTAAGGAGTGTTTTGATGTCTAAGAACTAATCTTCAGTTTCAGAAAAAGAAACTAGCAAAGAGACTGGCTGAACATTTGAACAGAGGCTGCAAAGTATGCTTGGAAGGACAGGGAAAGGCTTTAGAAGTCATACATTTTAGTTCCTTAAGTTGTTTGTTTGTTTGTTTGTTTGTTTGTTTATTTATTATAATTATATTCCTGAGTACTATTATTAGCTGGCATTTCATAACACTATCTTTAAAGGAGAAAGGTTTCTGTGATGATGTCAATTTTATTTCAACTCCTAGTTGGGAGCATGGTTCCATTTAATAAATAATTTGCCTGGGCCACAGCAAATTGTTTATGTAGGCCAGAGGTAGCCAACTGCCAAAGAATCATGGGCTGCATGTGTGTGTGAGTACTATGTGGACCTGTTCTGGCCCCAAGAAGCCCTTCCTGAAAACCAGGAGTGACCAGAAGTTATTTTTAGGTTTTTTTTGGGGGGGGGGCAAGTACACTTTCCAAGCATAAATCATGATGGAAGAACATGCTGAAATTGGCACTATGGCCAAAAGATTAGGCAGTGTTGTAAGTCCTAGAGGAGTCAGGGTCATGAGGGCTGCTTGGTAGGTTGGATATCAGGCTTCTTCCACACCTCACTTGGGGCAGAATTCCAGGATAAAGAGATGTTGTTTGGGCAGTAATTTATTACAAATGCCTCAAGTCCTTAAGTGTTTTATTAACTGTTCCGAACATGCAGATGTAAACATTTTCTATTCTGCACCTTCCATTCCTCAAAAGAAATAGATTTGGCTGAAAGACAGTCAGTTGTCAAAAGTCAGCTAGTAACTTAACAAATTGAGTAAGAATTCTGTACTTCTCCTTACCCTTCAGTCCTAATCCCACATTTTATTCACTTGAAATAATCACTGGATAATGGGAAAGTTTGCTAAAATATCCAGTTGTTGCTTCTGCGTCTTGGAGGGTTGTTGTATAAAATCTTCCCACTATACTACCTCAGTATTTAAATCCAGTGACCAGTTGCTAAAGACAAATGTGTGTTACAATTGTGTGTTACAATTGTGTTAAAATGAAATAACCAATAAGCATGTTCTCCAAGGGGAATAAGTTAATGCTTATAACATACTCAAAGTTAAATCTTAAAGTATATGAAATCATCATCATCCTAGTAATTATCGACCAATTATACACCTTCCAACAATGTTCAAGTACTCACAAGAGTACTTGCAAGATAAATATACAATTATTTAATTGAGAACTCCTTGTACCCAACTGAACAGAACGGTGATTTTAAAAAGTTAAGAGACATGAAAGATCAGCTGCTTATTGATAAAATCATACTAAAGAGTGCAAAAAGCCAAAAAACAAATCTTAACATAGTCTGAATAGAGTGGTCGAGTAGACCAGATAGGCGGGATATGTATGTATGTATGTATGTATGTATGTATGTATGTATGTATGTATGTATGTATGTATGTATGTATGTATGTATGTATGTATGTATGTATGTATGTATGGAATAAATGAATAAATAAATAAATAAATAAATAAATAAATAAATAAATAATATATTTTGGGGGATTAGTAAAAATATTCAGAAGTTCCTCAAGGAAAACATGAAAAAATGGAAAACTGTCTTAATGGCCTATGATTAAGACATTGGGGCAATTATTATCAAAAGAGGAATATTTCAAGGGGATTCTTTGTCATCACTGCTGTTTAACATCTCACTAATCCCCGTGTCAATGATTTTAAATACAACTAGATTTGGCTACCATATTTCATAACAAGCAGGAAAAATCAATCATCTGCTATACAAGGATGATTTGATACTATATGCAAAAAGTTCCACAGAGATAGAATTACTGCTAAACACAGTGCAATGTAGTGAAGATATTAATTGAAATTTGAAATTGACAAATGTACACCTCTGTCTGTATACTATGACAAGATCCCAAAACTGGATGGAATAGAGTTTTTAAAAATGACAATAATATAAAATCACTATCAAGTGATGAAATTTCATTATAAATACCCTGGAATATTGGAATATAAGATATGACAAGCCCTGCCAGATTAGGCCAAGTGCCCATCTAGTCTAGCTTCCTGTATCTCACGGTGGCCCCACCAGATGCCTCTGGGAGCACACGAGACAACTAGATACCTGTCTCCTGATACTCCTCCCTTGTATCTGGCATTTTGAGGTACCTTCCTTTTAAGTCTGGAGATTATACATCCCCATCATGGCTTGTAACCTACCTGCAATTGACTTTTCCTCCAGCAAATTGTTCAATCCCCTTTTCAAGCCATCTAGGCCAGATGCCATCGCCACATCCCGTGGCAAGGAGTTCCACAGACTAACAATATGCTGAGTAAAGAAATATTTTCTTTTCTCTGTTCTCAGTCTCCCAACACTCAATTGGAATAGATGTCCCCTGGTTCTGGTATTGCATGAGAGGGAAAAGAGCTTCCTCCATCCACTTGATCCACCCCCTGCATAATTGTATACATCTCAATCATGTCCCCCCTCAGGTACCTTTTCTCTAGACTAAAGAGCCCCAAACACTGTAGTCTTTTCTCATAAGGGAGGTGCCCCAGCCCAGCAATATATAAAAAGACTGCAGAAAACCTTAAAATCAAAATTAAATGGTGGGAATACAATCAAAGCCATAAACACATGGGCAGTTCCAGTAATTAGATACCCAGCTGAAATAATAAATTGGATCCAGAAATGAATTAGAAGAATTGGATTGAAAAACACAAACTAATGAGCATGCATCATACACTACATCCAGAAAGTGATGCAAACAGATTATGTTTACCATGAAAAAATTGAGGCCATGGATTACTGTAAATACAGCAGGTAGCAGAAGAGGAAAAGAGAAGCCTGAATGATTTTATTAGTACAAGTAGACAACAATTTAAGGCAGTGAAAATTGAGAATATTTTGAAGACAACAGAAACAAATGCTCAATATAAGAAATGACAACTTGAAAATAAATTAAACAGTTGGAAAAATAAACCACTACACGGACAACACCTGAGAAATATTGATGGAAAGCATGATCATGTTTCAACATGGGCATGGCTAAAACTGGGGACGCTTAAGAAAGAAACTGAAAGCTTGATTTTTGCTGCACAAGAACAAGCTCTCCAAACCAGTGTGATGAAATCTAAGATCCAAGCAAATGTCGACTCTACCAAGAAAAAGATGAAAAATCTGTTAATATCCAGCAATTGCACAGACAGATTACAAAACTAGACATGATAGAGTGGCAAAATTAGTGCACTAATCATTATGCAAAAAATACAACTTGTCAGCCTCCAAAAAACAATGGGAACATTTAGTCAAGAAGGTGTCAGAAAACGATGAAGTCAAAATCTTGTTGGATTTCCAGATTCAAACCAATAGACACCTTGAACATAACACTCCAGACATAGTAGTAATAGAATGAAGAAATGTCTGGATCATTGACATTGCAATTATGGGGGATGCCAGAGTTGAAAATAAAGAATTGGAAAAACTAACAAATTACAGAGACCTGGCAATCAAAACATCTTGCTTGTGAATGAACCACACTTCAGTGGTCCCTGTAATCATTGGGACTTTGGGAACAATATCAAGAAATGTCACACAGTAGTATAAGCTGTTGCAGATCTAAAAAATAACACCACCAGTGCTACAAAAACAGCATTATTAGGAACAGCACACATACTGCATCAATATTTCACAGATATTTAGGTTTTTGGTTAAAACTCATATCTGTTATATAATACCAGTCAGTGTTTTTTATAATTTTGATTGATTGTGCCTGGCATAATGATGATGATATACAAGTGGGAAAATGTGTCATCTGAGAAAATAAAATGTATTGCTCCATATTATAGTTATTATGAAAATTGAAATTATTTTGGCAATTTGAGTCAGGTTGTTTTCAGTTCAGTAAAAGTGATGGTTATATAGCACAAAGGACCCCTTGTCCTGCTGGTAGTTCTAGCAGCTTAATTGCATACAAGCATTTTGGTGTTTCTGTGGAATACTTTAATGGAATCAAGGGAAGCTTTGTATAATTTTAAATTAATAAAGTGTGTTGCAGGTGGTTTTTTTCTTTGTTTTCAAGAAGAACAAAAAACACCCAGACACCTAATATATATTTGCTGTTTCCATTTACATTCACTTTCTGATTTCTAAAATGGAATTAATAATAGACAAATAGATGCTAGCTTAAACTCATGCCTTTTTATTTTAGGTGCAGGTGTTTGGATTGTACACAGGGGAAGAATTTCATGAGACATTTGACTGCCCAATTAAAGTAAGTACTTGGTTTATTCTCAAGAAATTTTGCATTTTTGTTCCATTCAATGAAAAAGTTATCTCAGCTGTGTGTTCTTAGTACAGAGCCTTCCAAAGCTCGTTGTCAGAGAAAATTGTTTAGAGAGATTGCTATGAACTGTGGTACCTGGGTCAGGAAGCCAGAGCATGATGGGGTGGACTCAGATGCTGGGAGCTTGAATGGGGTTCCCCTTCTGTGGCACATAACTCTAGAGGTATATCAAGGAAAGGGTGAAATGTGTAGTTGCATTCCATGTGTGTGTGCATGTTTTAAATAGCAACAGAGTATTTGCTGTGCATGGATTTGGCCCTACATTGCACCAGAGTGGAAATGTTGTCTTTTCCTTTGTGCTATGGGGGCAGCAAAATTCCTTGCTCACTCAAGAGCTACTGTTTGCTGCAGGAGGAAAACTACCAGTATCGCAGCTATTGCTGAAGCTGCAGGAGGTGGCACTTTTCATTGGAAATGTGACACAGGAATGATGGTAAACAAGAACAACAGACAACCCCAAAAGCCTACCATACATATGATCTTCATTGTCTGCCCTCCCCCCAACATCTTTCATTGTTTTCAATAAAAAGGCAACAACCTAGAAAAACCTGTTAGAGGAAAGACAATCTTGCATATCACATACAACCTAATTTGCACCATAGATTCTACACTTCGTGAGTGGTAGATCTTTTTCAGGGTCTCTTTATACGATTTTTAATCCATTTTGGCCTGTGGGGAGTTCTGCAAACCTGTGAAACCTGAACTTTAAACACAGAAGACAAATATGTCACAGCCTGATAATGCCTTGATGTGACACCCTCACAGGTGCTATTGGGAATGTAGTCTGAAAAGGGCTATTCAGTTTTTTCCCCCAGGATTAAATTAATCTTCTCCTTTTCACTTCCCCTTGAATATTCACCTTTACATCACTGAATGGCCAATAAAAAAATCAAATAGGTTACATAATAGGAAGCAGAAGATGCAGAAACAGCATATTATATAAGAAGATGGACTAGATTAAGATGAAGGTGAAAAGTTTCATGGAAGAAACAGGAACAATTTCATATATACAGATAGCACCATATTACTGACAGAAGCTGCCAATGACTTGAAATGACAGATGATAAAGAGAAAGTGCAAAAGCAGGATTACATTGAACACTGAAAAAAATTGGTACAGAATAATTAGTTGGCTGGGTAGAGAATGAGTAAGTTAGGTATCTGGTAGTAGGTTCAGAGGGTAGACACAGTCAAGGAGCCTTGTGGGGCAAACAAGAAGCCTCATGGCACAGTCAAGGAGCCAAAATTCTGCTCACAACCTGGATTCAATCCCAGGTAGCCAGCTCAAGGTTCATCCAGCCTTCCTTCCTTCTCAGGCTGGTAGACTGAATACCCAGCTTGCTGGGGGACTGCATAATTACATTGTAAACTGCTCAGAGAGTGATTTAAGCACTATGAGGCAGTGCTTTTAATTCCACACTGCGTGTCACAGGATAAAAAACAGCCTGTGTTGTCTTGGACAACTTGCACAGTCTCAGAGGGCTGCTAGAAGAAAGGAACGATAAACCACTTCTGAATATGTTATACTTAGAACACCTTGGAAAGAATTGCCATAGGTCAGAATTGACTTGATGGAACACAATTACTACTACTACTATTATTATTATAAAATAATTATGTAACTTTTGACAATAATCAAAATTTTTAAAGATTTTCTATGTCCTGGTTTAGTCATCAGTCAAAATGGAGATTGCAGCCAAGAAATTAGAACACTGAGACTTCGAAGGGCAGTTGTGAAGGAACTAGAAAAGATTCTGAAGTGTAAGGATGTTGTACTACAGACGAAAGCTATCATATTTTGGTATTCCCTCTTATTGTGTACAGATGGCCAGTGAAGGGGGATACTTCATCTTGATACTGAAAGAGAGTTTTATGGAAACTTTACCCTGCTAGAAAGTCAAGTAAAAGAGTTTCAGAATCAAATCAAGCCTGAATTCTTATACTGTACTTTGACATATCATGAGAAGACATGACTCACTGGGAAAGATAATAAAGCTAGAGAGAGCTGAAGACAGTAGAAAAGAAGAAGACCTAATGTGAGATGAATTGGTTCAGTAAAAGAAATCTCACCCCTTAGTTTACAAGAGCTGAACAGGGCTGTTAATGATAAGACCTTTGGGGGGGAGTTTAATTCATAATGCTGCCATAAATCAGAAATGGCTTGTCAGTGTACAACAACTACCTTCACAGTAGAAATATTAGGGCCGATGTATTTCTTATATGTAGCATTATTTTTCCTCGTGGCAAGAACAATGTGGAATGAACACATGCTTCCCATAGACAAGCCACAGGAGACAAACCAAGTAAACCAGCAGTTACATGTGAATATTATGAAAACAAACAGGCTGATGCTAGAGATACCAAGATGAGTTAATTTAAAAGAGTGCATGAACATAACACATTTGATGAGGGCCTTAGTGTATGTAAATACTTCTGTGATTTACAAATCGCACTTCCAAAGTAATGATGCATTGGTCTCTTCTTTTGTGTTCAGATTGTTGCAGTTCATCCTCAGTTTGTGAGATCGCATTGCAAGCAGTTTGTAACTGGAGGAAACAAAGTAAGTTCTTCTGATTTACGAATACCATTCAGTTCCATATAGGGTACAAAGGAATATACACACAGATACCATGTATTGCATCCCGCCACCCAGGGATATTGTTTGGGTTCCTCCCTCACCTCACCTGATATGGTTTTTGGAATATTTTTTTTCCCAGTGGATGATTCAGATATGTTTTCAGAGGTGCCATTGGAGGCAATTGGACACAAGCATCCTCATCTTTTTCCTTGTGACAGGATCTCATCCCTAGTTGCCAAGCTTAGAAATATCAAATTGCAATTCAGGTGTCAAAGCTCTACTCCACAATGAGTCTTCAGCTGGTAGTCTGGTAGATCCTTGGCAAGGGTTCAGCACAATTAAAGAGGAAAGCTACAAGAGGAACAGCTATATCAGCTAAGAAAGGTGTCTCTTAAAATTCATTTTAAACAAACTATATATACCGTATTTGCTGGCGTATAAGATGACTTTTTTGCCCTGAAAAACATGCCTCCAAGTGGAGGGGGTTGTCTTATACGCCGGGTGCACCCAGAGCGGGCAGCACGTAGTGCATGGAGTAGGTGTGCAGCACCAGCAAGAGCAACATCTTTGTGCCCGCCGGCCTGCGTTGAGCGCTCCGCTAACTCGGGTGCTTATTTGGCGGGAGTCACACCGATGCCGCCTCCCCTCACCGGCGACAGCAGGAACAGCCACGGCAATGGCGCCACCTGAAGGAGGAAAGAGGAGAGGTGAACAAGGAAGAGGAGGAGGAGGAGGAAGAGGAGGTGGCGGAGGTGGCGCCTCTTCTCCTGAGGAGGCAGTGGGCGGCTCTGGCTCTCAGGTGCTTATACGCCCAGCAGAAAGCAGCATGGAGAGGCGAGGGTAAAAGGCAGAGGGAGGGGTAGTCTTATACCAAACTCTATATTTTGAGTGGAATGTTGAGGTCGTCTTATACGTCCAGTGCAGAGTATTCCATATTTTTAACATTCATTTTAGGAAATGAAATATTTCCTTATACTGTAATGTTACAAAATTGGTGTCCAAATCCTCTCTGAAAAAGGATCCATCCTTTTTTCCCCCTTAAAAATAAAAAAGTAAATTACTAGCTCTAATGATGTAGAAATATTTTTGCTTTAATTGTTGTTTGTAATGTTTTTAAGTACGCTTTGTAATATTCCTGGGTTTTGAAAGCATTTATTAATTCACCATCAGTGTTACTGGCTGAAATCCTGTTGCTTAGCATAGTAAGTCACACTAGAGTAGGTGCACTTAATCAGTGGGGATTTGATGAGTCAGTTCCTCCATACATTCGATTGACTCAAATGGCCCTACTCTAGTGCATCTTGCTACACTAAATGATAGGATTTCAGCCTTAGAGTTACTGCACCACAGAGTATTAGGGTTGGGTTTTTCAGTTTGTTTGTTTTTAATCATGGTGGAAAAGATTTGGGTGCTGCTGATGTGATCAAATGTGCTTTGGCCAGATGTGTTTAGGCTCCAGCTCATTTCACATTCTTCCTCTATAAATTTTCTTCTGTTACTAGAATTGAGCTGAGCTTGCAGTTCTTTCACACAAAATCCTATTCCTGGTCACACACCCAAAGAAATAAGATAAGATGAGGCCGACAGACAGATCCTTTTGTTTGTAGTTGCTTTTAGTCGGCTCTAAAATATGTTAATTTTTATTGTACATTTTCTTTATTGTTTTAATTATTATAAGGTATATGTTGGCAAGCCACAGCCCCTAGATTACCTGCAGCCCTCAGTTTCTCATGGAGGTATCAGGGTGACTCGGAGTCTGTGCCATTGTCTCCTGTGGCATTCAGGAAGACTTTAAAAAGTTGTCTACTCGGCTTGTAAACCATCTTGAGATGGTTTGGCGATCTCCTCAGCAAAGACATAAATTAGGTAGTTATTACTGTGAAATCGTTAGCAATTACAGTTTAATGTAATCAGGTATTTCACTATTTTGTTTATGGGCAGGTTTAAATGAATTTGTCATATAGGCAGCTTACAGAGAGTGCCCACAATCTTGTTGAATTCTGTGGACTGTAATGTTGTGCAAGCAAAGATTGACCCATTGGAACAAATGAGGGCTTCTCTTCACACAAGAAGACATTAGATATCTCCTTGTGCAGGCTTGAAAAATGTCAAATGACTAATGCAACAGTCCGTGTGTGAGTGTTTCCATTGAACTGGATTCTGGTCTGTGCTCTGCATCAGGATTTAAATCTTATCTTTGTTGTGAACTCACTGTGTGGCTTTAGGCAAGCTATAGTCTCCCCGTCAGTAGAATTGGGATTAGAATACTGGTCACACAGAATTATTACAACTGTTGCATTGTATGTACCATATTCATTTAAAAAGGGGCATAATAATCATGAGGTTTGGGAAACAGTATTTTACCTCAGACCTAAGCATTTCCCCATATGAACTGCTTTTGTGAGAGTGAACAATATACCTTCTTGAGAGGCTCTTGCTACAATAGTTGCTGTGATCTTCTTTTGACCATTGGGTGTAGTACTAACTAAACCATTCCTGCCCCTTTCACATTGCAATTAAGTACCGTAGGTTTTGAATGGAACACTTGGCAGATGGTGGCAACCCTGCAATAATAATACATTGTAAATAACAGGGCAACCCCAGCAAGAGAAGACAGAGGAGTTTTGAGGCGAGAAGGAAAGACAAATAGTGCTATTGTAGGCCATAACCTTCTACCTTTAAAAGAGGGTCTAATCTTAAAAAATAACAGGGTGAAAGCTGGCTAAATGAAGGTGGGGAAGCTGAAATAAAGGGATTCGTCAGTTAACCCTTAAGAGTGCCTACATTTTTCAATCTGCCAGTTTAAATGAATGTTACACTTGGACAAAGTAAACTCATCAATACCATCCAGTGAATTAAACTTTATAAAATAAACTGAAACAGAAAATTAAAGGATATGTAAATTTTCAAATAGGCCATTGATTCATTTCTGTATTTGTAGATAGGTTTAATTGTATGGGTAAAATCTGCAGATATTAACATATGTAAAGACACTAATAAAATATAAAGCAGAAAGAGACTGATGAAGAGAATAATCTGCACTTTGTTGCTAGGCGTATAAATAAATGCTTGCTGAGGGCTTTTCAATGAATATACAAATCCTTTCCCATGTAGTATTGGGGACAGTGACCAATAAGACACTCAAAGAGTGGGTTCAAGAGACTTCCAGAGTTGATTATGGCCATTTGCTCTTCCATGTAGAAGCTCTTGATATTTTAGAGTAGGAATAGAAAATATGTGCCTCTCCAGATGCTGCTACAGTACAGTTCCTGTTGGCTCTCATCACTGCCCACCCTAATGCTGTACATTTTGGAGTACCACAAACTTCCTGCCACAGTTTTAGGGAAAACAACATATTTTGTTCCCAGAGATGCCAAAGAAAGTCACTGCCAGAATGGAGCTGCCTTTGGCAGTTTCTGAAAACCATTAGAACTATAACAGGCTGGAAATATTCTGAGATTCAGTTTGATCTAGTTCTTCCACTGAGCTAGAGCCTTTCATGATTAATATTTCGGTACAGTGGAACTTTGACTTACGAACTTAATCCGTATTGGAACGTTGTTCGTACGTCAAAACGTTCGTAAGTTGAAGCACCATTTCCCATTGAAATGCATGGGAATGGGATTAATCCGTTCCAGCGTTTCAAAAAAATACCAAATAAAAATAAGAAACACTGCAAGCCCCATAGGAACGCGCTGCGGCTGCAAAAAACAAAAACAAAACCATACACACCAAAAAATAAACAACAAAACACAGAAACATAATCCCCCCAGCCCAGCCCCCCCCTGCAAAGCCCAGCCAGAACAGTTTTTTAAAAGCAAAAAGCACCCCAGGGCTCCCACAGGTTTTGGCACCCAAGAGGCAGTGGGTGGGTGAACGGTCCCGTTCACTTCAGAAGTGAGGTGGCGGGCGAGCGCTTCCCAGTTGGGTGAGCACTGCTGCCTGAGGAAAGCTGTGGCTCCGGAGGAGCAGGAGGCAGCAGGTGGGCGAATGGTCCCATTCACTTTGGCCAGCCTTTGAGGCTCCCTTTCTCTTCTGCTGCCCAGTTCCCGGCTTCTCTGGCTGGAGGAAAGCCGTGGCAGAGCAGGAGGTGGTGGGCAGACAGGGGGAGTCCATCTGGAAGAGGCGCCTGGGCCATTGCCCTTGGCCGGGAACCCCTTGCCCAGAGGGGGCTGAGCAGGAACCAGGAGTCTGCTGCCCTGAAGGGAGGGCAGTTCCGGATTAGGCACCCACCTGCCTGGATCCGCCCCAGCCAGGTTTCCAATCCTGGTCCCGTTCACTTCAGCCAGGCTTTGAGGCTCCCTTTCTCTCCTGCTGCCAGGTTCCCGGCTTCTCTGGCCGGCGCCTCTATGAATTTGAATTTTCCGCCTTTTCCCCCTGTCTTTTTTGTGTTCATAAGTGGAAGCTCCACTCGCAAGTTGAAGCAAAATTTTGCAAGAGGAACTGCTCGTAAGTCGAAAAGTTCGTAAGTAGGGACGTTTGTAAGTCGAGGTTCTACTGTATACTGTATTACCATATATCAACACTGTAGTTTTACATCATAGCGTTCTTTATAAGCCTTCATGTAAAGGTTCCCATTGACCTTTAGTCCAGTCATGTCTGACTCTAGGGGGCGGTGCTCATCCCCGTATTCAAGCCATAGAGCCAGCGTTTGTCTGTAGACAATTTCCGAAGTCACATGACCAGAACGACTAGACACAGAATGCCATTACCTTCCCATCGTGGTGGTCCCTATTTATCTACTCACATTTACATGCTTTTGAACTGCTAGGTTGGCAGGAGCTGGGACAAGCTACAGGAGCTCACTCCATCGCGTGGATTCGATCTTCCGACCTTGCAGCACAGAGGCTTCTGTGGTTTAACCCACAGTGCCACCACATCCCTAAGCCGTCATGACCACATACTTAATAAACACAGCTGGAAACCAAGGTATATGCGTAGATTTCTTGGGAGCCAGGAGGCAGGGTTGGTAAAAATAAACG